AATTAGAAAAAAGAGAAAAACAAACAAGTATGGCTTGTTTGGAAGTGTTACCAGGACAACGTCTCTTCTCTCTATAAAGGACTCCTTAGGTTTGCAAAGCTGAATCTGCAAGGCTTCTGGAACAACATCCTTTGGATAGATGAGACCAAAGTGGAGATGTTAGGCTATAAAGCCTAATGCCACTTATGCTGTGTTTGGTTTTCACCAAGTCAACACAGACCCCTCAGACCAACTATCAAGCACGGTGATAGCGGGGTGATGACTGGGGCTTGATTTTGAGCTGCAGGACAACCTGCAATCTTTGAGTTGACCATGAACTCATCTGTAAGCCAAAGTATTCTAGAGTTAAATGTGAGAACACCTTTCCATAGCTGAACAGGACAATTATCCAAAACACACCAGCAAATCTACAACAGATTGGCTGAAAAGAGGAGAAAAAAAGGGTGGGGTGGGACGGCAAATTAAGGTGTTGCAATGACACAGTCAAAATCCAGACATCAACCCAACTGAAATACTGTGATGAGACATTAAGAGAGCTGTGCATAGATAATTGCACAAAAACCTAAATGAATTAAAGCAACTCTGAAAAATAAGCAGTCCAATATTCCTCCACTGGACCCAGACTACCAAATATTTTCTTTTATTATGTCCTGGTCTGAAAAACCTCAGAACTGACAGTTGGCGTACTGTGATTATAACCAGGTAAGATTGTTTTTGTAAAAAGGCAAAGGCAAATTTCTTCTCTGGAAACCTTAAAACTAGCCTAAGGACAAAAAAACAAAACAAAACAAAAACCCAATGCACTGTATATAATGATCATAAAATGGATATTTTCCAAATGATTCCCTGATTAAATTAAAGCGACGATATGCCGACATTCTGCAGCTCTCATTACACAATACTTCCATACAATTAATCATGGCCAATCAATAACCTTATCATTACGGTAATGCACAAACTTGCATAGATAAAGTGATATAGTATAGAGCAGCTTGATATTCATGTGCCCAAAGATTTAACATGCTTTTTAAATTTACTCTATAGGCTTTTCTGACATTCCTGCAAGGAATAGCTGCTTTTTGTTGGAGGTCTAACTACCAACAAAACAAAACAGACACTCGGACCACTAACATATGCAAGTTTGCAGTTTGAGCCAGCGGGTATTTGTTAAGACTCAAAAAGTGGGAGATCTGAGTTGATCTTGAGATCATTCACAACCATAGCTGGATTGATCGCTCTCCTGCTTAAAGAGGCTCAGAAAATACAGGGCTTAGATCACAAAGAACACCATTTGAGAACAATTGTTTATATTATATGTAGAGAGAGACATCCTCGTTTTTTGTTTTTCTTTTTTTAACAGTATGGCTATTAACAGAGTGGCATATGAATGACATCATAGAATCGTCTGGATATAAAGGGCTTCACTGACTAGTCCTTAAAACATGCTTTCCCTGGGATCATTTGGATCTGACTTGTTCTTTTAGTGCATGGGGGGCTTGCCTGATTTTCACTACTTTTAATTTAAGGCCATTCATTTCTATTTGGCTCGACTGCCGCCTAGGGACTGAGAAATACAGGAGTGACATCTCTTTTAGTGAATTAAATTAAAACAACTCCACAGCACGTGGATATGAGGTCCTTTGATAGAGTTTCATTGAATGCTAAAGGGGAGTGCCACTCAATTTGTGACATTTGTGAATTTAATGTAGAATGCAAAGACAGTAAAAAAGTAAGCTGATAGTTAACCAAAACAAGACGCGATTATCATTTTACTACAGGAAAAACTGTTTTTTTTTCCTTTTAATGTATTTGAGAGGCAGTCCCCTTTAATATGTTTGCCTAACAGTTGGAAAAACACTGTAAAGTACAACACATAGACACTACTTTGAGCACAGTTCTATTAAAAGCGCAGGATTATAAAACATTGACATCATCAAGAGGACGTGCTATACACTGAGCTGAGAGTGACGCTAGCCTCCCATCTCTACCTCAGTCGCAGACATGACAAAGAAATCATGTTCCGTGTGCAAATCGAGTGAACACCAAACATCCGTGGTGTAACTCTATTATGCTACTGACTGAATCTGTAGAGCTACATCGAGTGTGGTGGTGAGGGAAAAGCTTTTGTTGCGCATAACAAATCGACGAAACAGAGCGATGAAGTAAGAGTTCTTTCTAAGGTGGCTCCTGCATGACATGGTCCATACAAGAATAATAATAAAGAAAAAAAATCATTTCTTAATGTTGATTTTTTTCCCTCCTTCATTTGCAATTACCCACCAAAGTGCAACAACAACTTAACCCACACCTCAGGAG